TCTAGGCCCCAATTCAACTTATAATCTGTGGCGAGACTTGAATTTTGTTGATTTTGCATAGATTGAGAAAAAAAAATCTGCTTCCAGTGCATAATCCAAAGCTGGTAGAAGCATAATGTAATGAAAAAGGTACTTTGAGCACAAATCCTCTAGAGTTTTGTGATTATTATTTGTTAAAAAAAAAAAGACTCAAATTCTAATAAAATATGTTGAAGTCCGTGGTGGTGACAGTACAGTAAAGTTCAGAATATTTCAAGCACCTAGTAGACACAGAATTGATGCATCTATAAGGTGTAATTTAAAAAATAAATAAATAAATAACTAAAATCACTCTTTTTAAAAATACACAGGAGCACACCTATTCACGTACGGAATATTTCCACTGCAAACACAGTCCAGGAGACACTAATTTATTCCCATGGAACTTTCCCCACCCATCCCTGAATCCCAGTGCATGAGTAATCATCAGGCCCAGTAAAATGATTGCTGCTTTCAACGCTAATGGAAGCCCTGCACATTCATTATTCAGTACAGGAAGCTGAAACGTGTCGAGGGACCTTTGAGTTATTGCTCTGCATGAACTAACCTTAGACAAGTGACACAAGCCCACCACACTTTCCCCTCTTCTGTGTTCGTGCGTTTATTACGACGGCCCCTCCCTGCGTCCATCTGCACCGGCAGACTGGAACCACACAGAGAAGACGAGATCGTATCACAGCTGTGGTGTCAGACAGACAGTGATGGGTGTACTGTGTCGCTGCAGACAGAATGACAGACGATCTGAGCTCTCTCGTGTCACAGCGGCGCTTGACCACGAACAGCCTTGACTGCTGGGGTAAAGCTTTCCTGGTGTTACAGCTCTCTCGGGGTTGCTGAAGCTGGAATGTGACAGGGAGGGGGTTCGTCTGCTCTGAGACGGCATGGGGAGAGGCTGACCTGCACAGAACGAAAGTCGTGAAACAGATAGGTTAGATATGTGAACATGCCCACACTTGTGTTCAAGGAAAGAGACACCACGGACGAATGAGCCAGTCAGTCTTGTTACCCCCCTCCTCCCAAAAGGCAACACAGATCAGACAAAATTCCAACAATGCACGTAAGCCAGCTTTAATATCCATGTCTGGACTCGTTAGGATTTACTTTCACTTAGTTTTCAGGCAAGATGAATTGTGGTATGTGGAACAAATCCAAATAAATCTAGGAATAAAATTCCGGCTAAATCTATTCGTCTGGTTTTACTTATTTCTCTAAAATACACCAACACAACACATTTGTTTTAAAAGCTGGACTGAAAAAAAATACTCCACAGGGATTTACATTTGTTTTGTTTGCATGTTAGAAAAACATGTCCAGCCAGACATGTGTACCTCCAACATGATTCTTTGAGTTATGTTTGCATGTCTCTCTGCTTGTGCACAATCCATAAATGTTTCATTCACTGTACTGTCGTTCCTGTCAATCTGAAATTTGGAGAAAAACAGAACAAAACATCCCGTTGACAGTAAAACAGGAAACCTTGACAGTAGATAAAACCGGTTGAGAAAAAGTCCATTATGCCACTTCAGAATTACAACTGAAACCTGAAATTCTCACACACTGCTCAGGTTCATGCCAAAATATTTTTGATATTTTGTAAAAATAAAAAATAAAACAAAAATGTACGATTTTTTTTGTCACTTATTTCAGATAGTGAAACTTGAATACTATGCAGATTTATTACAAAGAGTTAAATATGTCAAGCCTTATAGATTATACTCTTGATGACCAAGGCTTCTAGATAATGGAAACCAAAAATTCTGTTGGTCATTGATTGAGTTCACTGTGGTCCCACACCAAATCACTCCTGAATATTTACACTGAACTTCAAGCAGTGGGGAATCTGTGCATCTCCACTCTTCTTCCAAACTCTGAGAACTTGATTTCAAAATTAAACACAAACGTTACATTTCCCAATTCTTTGAATTACTGTATTTTTCGGACAATAAGCCACTCCTTTTTTCCCACGCTTTGAACCATGTGGCTTATAGCCTGGTGTGACTTTTCTGTGGATTTTTTTGGACAGTCAGGGAGCTCTTTAGCAGGGAGTGGATCATTGGGTGTCAAAATTGGAAATCAAAGAAACTGATGATTTTAATTTAGAACAAGTACATGCTACCATCAGGCACGATGGAGAAAGGTTTTCAAACTTATACCCTATCATCATGTAAACCACACGAAGAAGTTCATATGATGCAGTTTTTAAGTTGAGGGCTATCGATTTGTCAGTACAGATCGATAGCCGCTGCACATAAGCTCAGCGTGAAGGAATCCAAACGTAGGGCTGTGTCCTTGTGGAAAACTGAGAGCGGCGGAGATACCAGCGGCTTATAGCCCGGTGCAGCTTATATATAGACGTTTGTAGTTTTTTTTGTTTTGTTTTGGGGTTGTTGTTTTTTTTTTTACTTTGTAGGTGTGGCTTGTCGTGAGGTTCGCTCTATAATCCGAAAAATACAGTACACAAAAAATGAACAGATTATTTGGTGGGTTGTATCTATAGTTTAAACTGTTGGAAAACCTGACACGTATAAAAAGGCATTCAAGTCATACAGTTCAAACACTAAGGAAATGTATGTTAGATGATAAGAAGAAAAAAAAGTTACTGTAATTTTGTACAGTTTGTGTATGTCTGGTTTCAACTGGACTTAACTAACCTCTGCAAAGTTTTTCCATTTCTGCTCTTGCAAACCAATGGGTGATAAAGAATAACACACCAAGGCTGGCTTTTGTGCAGTTGAAAAACAATTCTCTTCAAGGTATAAAATCTCATTAAAATTTGTATCGAGATAAGACAGTTCCAGCTCACAGCGCTTAAAGCATACATTAGTAGATCTGTAGTTCATTGGCTCTAATCGTGTATTCCTGTCCGCTGGTGTCTTTTTGACTCAGGCAATTTAGCATGCTGGCATGTTGCTTTAAAAATGACCCAATTAATTTGATTATGAAGCTGAGGTTTAAACATGAGTGGAATCATAAGGGTAGTGGTGGGGCGGGGGTGTTGATGAGAAACAAATTCAGCAAGAAAGGCAAATAAAGAAGTTTATGTAGGTGTTCCATTTAGTTTCACAAGAGCTTTGAACAAGGATGAAACAAGGAAAAGTATTTTGTGCAAAAAAATATGTCAACAGAAGATCACTCAGATGATATGCAGCACATGAGATGATTGGTGTTTATTACATATATATATGGGGTGGACAATTAACGTTACCAAAACAGGTCATTTTATGTTGAGTAGACTATTTTTGGGGTTGTATATCACTACTAAAGATGCTTTAATATGCCTGAGAGCTGGCTCAGAGCCAGTGAGGGGAACTTATTTTCTGAGCAATTTAGGAGGAAATTGGTCTAGAAATGGAGGAAAATTACTTTGTACAAAAAAATGCACTCTGGAAAATAAATAGATGGAAGATTTCATTCTGATTATGTAATGCAAAAGGGAACTGGAGGTGATTTGGTTTCATCTGTTTCCATGATTATGTACATTTCTACTGCCCTGTTGTTTTTCTGTTGTGAAGGGGCTGTTGTCCATCTACAATTTGGAAAAACCAATTGATTTAACATGAACTGTGTGATGAAGCCAAGGATTACTTCAACACGATTCTAAAAATACTGCAGTGATGCACATGTGATCTGAACTGTCGACTTTAGGCTGGTCTAACGAAGGTTTTACTTCATAATGTTGTTTTCAAACATGACACTCAGTGCCATTTCCAGATATCCATACGCAAACATGATTTGGTAAAACAGCAAATTTGTAAGATTTCCTTAGGCCATTATCATGTGCATTGCTTTATTGCATGTATTGAAGAGAAACATACAAAATAAAAAAAGAACATGCTCATTTTGTCTAGCATGTTCAAAAGCAGGAGAGAGATTAAATATTTAGAATGACCACCTACAAGTACTGATCATTTTCAAAGTATTTTTTTAGTAAAAACTTAGCTTTTTGCCCAGTTAGGATTCACACATTACTGGCTCTTCCAACTCCTTGGAGAAATTGTGGCTTTTGGAAAGCCAATTACTTTAACATACATTTTGGTCTTGCTCAAAATGTGAAAGTACCCAAGAGAGATGCTTTAGTCACAGCAAATTGGTGTGCAGGTATTACATGAAATTTGATACAAAATAGCACATTATTATTAATACTATAATAGTATATTCCAGAACAGAGTCCCCCTCACTATCTGAACAGTTCTATACAGCTGTAGCTAAGATGCACGAAACTTGTGATTTTTTATTTTTTACTTTTTCCCCACTGTCTACAAAGCATTGGCTTCTTTGCTCCATTCTGGTCATTTTGTAATAATTCCAATTACATTTGTTTTTGTTGATTTTATTTTCTCAGCATTTCCAGTTTTATAGTTGGCTGATACTTTTTCATATTTTACTGAGAGCTTATGGCGCTCATTAGGCTATGGCGCCCTGAGTGGGAAGCCTTACACCCCATACAATCCTGGTACATTAATACAGTTGGAAATACATGACACTGATTTCAACTTCAACTGCACACTAGATGTATGTGACTTAAATTAAATAAAGCTAAAGTAGAATAAAACAATGGTGAAGGCCGAGAGCTTTTTTACTCTCTCATAGCTGCGATTACGATCAACAACAACAAAAACGACATTGTAGAAGGCATACATGTTTCACACATTCATAAAAGCAATAAACAGTGGTAACCTTCAAGGATTAAAATGGTACCCCACATCCGGTCTTGATCTATTCGAGCCATAATCGCCTTGAATGCTTCATTGGATGTTTTGATTTTCAAGCACTGAATAATTCGCTTAAAAAAGGGAGACTAATTGCAAATCAAAATGTCTCTGCTCCGAGTATTAATTATTATAATGGATGCATGTTTCAGTGCCACACAATCCTCTTGCATCACGCATACACACCATATAACGCGGCGCGGTGCACTTGCCTCGCTCCTCGCTGAGCCCTCCTTCCCACGATCCGCCCACCACCTCGGGCTGAAGTCACGTGCTCCACCGCCTAGTGTCTCTCGGCGTTTCTACACCATCACAAATCAAACTCTCAGTCAGCGCCGGGCGGAGAGGGAAGCCGAGATGAGCGGCGGAGAGGCGTGTGCTGCACAGACAGAGAGCCCCCAAGACGCCAGCGGGCTATTCACTGTGAACATCTAACAGATTACATCCGCTGCAGCTGGCCTTTCTTTTTCTTCTTTTTCTTTTTTCTTTTTCTTTTTTTTTTTTTTTTTTTTTTTTTTGGTACTGATTCCTGAACTCATCGGAACAGGACAGGAGATGAGATTCACACAGACCCGGAGATCTCCGCCTGGTTCCAAGCAGTCCGCCAGCGTTCAGCGGTGCGTTGAGGGGGTCCGGGGCACAGAGCGCGCAGCCCAGAGCCGCTCCACCTCAACTGTGGACTGAAGACAGTTGCCTTTCTCTTCCTAAAGCGCACTTTTGTTCTGCTGGATTCTGGACTAAGGTGGGGGGGATACCATGAGGGCTCTCTCAGCAAACTTGTTCGCTGTGCTCCTACTGTGTGCCCTTGCAAGTGTTTTCTACGTGTGGAGCGCGCTGGAGAATCGCTTGGAGCGACACAAACGGGGCTTCTCCGTGCCGGACGGGGGGTCCTTTCATCAAGGTCCTTCAGAAGACCTTTCTGCCAAAACTTTCCGAGCGCTCCTTGCTGTTCCAGTTGCACAAAGACAGAACTCGGCGGGCAGATCGAAGGCTCAAAACCTCACCACCCCATTTGGCTTCGTGGGAAGTCGAGATTATCATGTGAATGGGGATGACGAGAGGTCAGCGCAACGGGAGGGTCCGGTCAATTTAGGCTACCCAGTGGATGATGGGATATTCTGGAGCAACTGGCTGGAAGACCTCCTCCCCGTGAGATTCACGGAGGGATACGCCGAGGCTTGGAGGAGCAAGGCAAGGACATCAGCGGTGGTGAAGCTGGAGCCTGGATGCGGCAGGATATCCAATCAGCTGGCCACGTTTGCAGACGGGACGAAGGCGTGTGTGCGCTACGGAATCAACGCGGACCAGGTGCAGGGGGAAACTCTGACATACTACCTGGCCAGCCTGCTGGGCATCACAAATCTGCCTCCACTCGTACTGTCACAGCTTAACGGCGACAGTGCGCAATGGCTGACCGTGAGGACGCGGGTAAATAATTTGCAGTGGAACGATCGGGCTATTGTGTCTCTCACAGAGTGGATTTCCAACCTGACCGGAGTGATCACACCTGCGCCCCTCAGACAGGAGAGCAGCGGGCTGCTTCCTGCTCTCAGGTGCTTCGAGAACAAAACTACGGCAGAGCTGCTGGAGCTGATGCAGTGGAGCGACCTGGTCGTGTTCGACTACCTGACTGCGAACTTCGACAGGCTTGTCAGCAATCTGTTCAGCCTGCAGTGGGACCCCCACGTGATGGAGAGGGACACCAACAACCTGCTGAAAACGCCCCACGGGGACCTGGTGTTCATAGACAACGAGGCCGGACTCGTGCACGGCTTTCGGGTGTTGAACATGTGGGAGAAATATCACCATTCAGTCCTGAGCTCCGTGTGCGTGTTCAGGAAAAGGACTATGCAGCGCGTGGCGGAGCTGCACAGGCGCAGAGACTCCAGGCAGAGGCTGCTCGATCTCTACAGAGACAGCGAGCCTTTGTCTCAGGAACTGGGATTTCTCTCTGACGAGCACGCTGCTGTGCTCCAAGACAGGATAGATCAATTGCACAAACACATCATGCAATGCAAAGAAAAGTACGATCAGCCGTGAGCACCAAGGGCGCACAGGTGATAGATTGGCATGGCAAGTCATTAATGACAAACAGTGGTGCTCAGGACGCAATACAATGTGAAAACCCTACCAGAAAACCGTATTTGAAAACTCTTCTTTTCTCTGAAGAGTTTTTTTTTTTCTTTTCAAGAAATTGAAAACGAAATTAAGCTACATTGTTCGGCTTGTGTAATATGTTCATGGTAATAGTAAAAGTTTACAAAGGCCAGCTGATGTCAAGAAAGTTGGTATCAATTGTGGTACGTTTGTCCTATTATAATTTTCAAATGTGTTGCTGTTGTTTTAAAGAAAAATAACTTTTATTAATATCTATATAATAAAAGTTGAAGCAGTTAATTGAAGCAACTGCTTTAATGAAGGCGTAAGTGGTGGAAAAATTGCCATTCAATGGCATGCTGGATGTTTTTAGTCCTCATGAACAGTTTTTTTACTGCACAACTGTGTGACATAAAAAGAAAAGGTTTATTGACCAGATAGATCGCTTTGTTTTCATCGGTTGTTAACACAACTTCATTTCACAGTTTTTCAAAATGGCATTCAATGACTGGATAAAACATGTAAAATATGGGATTCTGGTGGGGATCTTACAGTGTCCTGATTTTGAATGGTGAATTTTATTTTATTTTATTTATTTTTATTTTTTTAACCAAATAGTACACCAATGTTTGACACTAATGGAATGCCATAGACGATTTGCACGGTATGATGAGCTTTGCAAAACCAATGCCTGTTACACAAAGCTGATTTGAATATCCAACTGAACTACCTCTTGTGAATAGAATGTGTTGCCTACTTTAAATATAAGTCGAGTTTGAAAAATGTTCAGAAGCTTCCCGCTGAGATTTATGCCTCTCTGAAGTGGAGATAATGTGGCCAATTTGAGTTATTTATTTTTCTTAATTTGCTGAACATTTGCTGACTGGAATATGAACAAATGTAAAGATGATCTGCTGTAGACCTGTTTGTGATTAGGTTACCATAATAAAGTCCTTAAAGAGATAGCTCAGAATTTTTACAGTGAGGTTAAAAACTTATCAGCAGTTAATATCTCTGATGTATCAGATAACTTTCATAGTGTCTTCACTTTGCAAAAATAAGAAGTGATTTTCTCTGGATCCTGAAGCTAATGGCTACTCAGAGAGGGATCAAGATCGAAGTGGGCTCCCACCCTTTTAAAATCAGAGTCCAGTCTCGAAAGTGTCACAGTAGTTTATGAAAATTATTTTTTATAAACATTTAAGCTGTCATCATGTCTGTATGGGGAAGTTATTAAGATGAAAGCTGTTGATTTCTTTCAGTGTAAGAAATAAGGAAATCATGGAGTGTCCTGTCTCCAGGAGATTGTGCACTTCAGAACATCTTCCATGTGAAATGCATGCTAAGAACACAACATGTTACTCCTTTTCTGGTTATTTTAGTATTTTAATCATTTTAAGATGTTAGAAGCCCACTTCTGCTTGACTCCTCTTGACTTTTTTATATGACACTATAAGAGTTTTCTATTTTACTAACGATGTTAACTACTCATAAGCTTTTTGCAGAATATCACTTTTAAGAATCAGAACTTAAAAGTTCTGATTCATACCCTTATGTTGTGTTTGAATATTTGCCTTGTGTTTAAATATCCAAGTGACATATGCCTACTCCAAAGCCTTAACCTATGTTGATTCTTCTTCAGTATTGTATTTCTGTTCACATTAGCTCGCTTTTTATAGACAGTAATTTGCACACATTGTAATAGATAGCACCTGCACTCGTGTCAATGTGTTAATATTCAGCCTTAAAAGTCACAGGTGTGTCATATCTATTGTGCATTTGTTGCTTCTGTTGTAAATATTGTCTGACAACAAGTTTTGATGCTAAACTGACTTAATGTGCATTGTGACATTCCAAAATTGTGTCCTTTTTTGAACAAAGAAATACACAAAATGTATTTTACAACATGTGTTTTGTACACAGAATATACCCAAAAGCATTAAAATCACTGTGGTGTAGTATATGTAGAGTCTGGGAGTGGGGAGTTAGTGTGAAAGTCTATTTAGTCTTTGTATTTTGCAGGTACAATTTTTCACAAAAGCTTGACTGTTGGCCACATGCTTGTAACAACACAAATCTCTTTAATCCCCCTTTTATAATCTCTACTAGAATGATGAGCTAAAGTATACTGACTCTTTGGGACATATTTGAAAAAGGGTTTTAGTGTTCCCTAACTATAACTTCCCTTTATTTTTTTAAATTGTTATGCTTTGGTCAAAGATTAGAAATGGTTACTGATCCAGATCAATAATAGTTTGTGTTTTAGGTTCAATCTATTGACCTAAAAGGGAAGCACGCTCAGAGAGGATTGGATTGAACACTTCACAATTAATGAGAGCAGTGTTTGTATTTTTTAGCAGCATGATTTTGGAATTTTAAATTTATTTCCTGAGTGAATAACGTCACTACTTCACTTTCCATCATTTTGTAGGCCCTGTTCTGTGCCTAATTTCTGTTTGTCAAGCACATCCAAAGAATTTTGAAGGCTTAATCGTCCACTATTGTGCTGTCATACCGATAATTATTCCGATGTTGCTTCCCTTACTAGATTAAATGGTGCAGCACTAACTGTTTCTGCAATATCAAATTTCTTCATCTCTTTCAAATTGTGGGTATTTTTGGAACTTGCATCCTTTGTGTCAATGATTTGTGGTTATTTCACAACAGAAATGTAGGCAGGTGCAACTGGACTAGTTTTTTTTCCTCTATTAGTTTCCAGACTGTGCCTCAGCTGGGAAAGGGACTTAAGGATCAATATGTGCACTGACTGTAGTATGGGCGAAAGCAGGTCATGTTAATGAGCTGGGTGAGGGGTTACATGTGAAAATTTGTGTCTCGGTGGGGATTTTGCAATGACTGCACTTGCAGCTGGGTTTGGTGCTGTAAGGATGTCTGTTCATGCTCTACAGAGATTTTGCAGCTAGCTGCACATACTAGGGATTAAAAACAATGCCAAACAGAGGTCTTCACATCTGAAGCGCACTTCCTATCCTCCTTCTGTGTTGTATTCTCTCTCTCGGTATTTCATCCACATCACAACCATTTCTCCAGTGCATTTGCATTCTTTTAAAACATTATTGTCAGCTTCATTTGTGAATAAAAGAGAGAATGAAAGTTTAATTTTCCTAATTAGCCTTTTTGTGGACTCCTCTGCATGTGAGAGCCCTTTTAACCAGGGGGACCGTGCCAGCAGTAATCACACTAATGGGGAGAAATCAAAGAGGTTTTCAAACCACTCCATAACTGTTCACATATGTTCTTCTTTCACTCTTCCTGTCTGTTCCTCTTCAACCTCCCGATGGCAACTTTTTTTTTTTTTTTTTTTATAGCAAACACATGGCATTTTTTTGGGCTATTCTGCAGAATGCACAATTTTCTTGCTCTCTGAATGTCAGGTTTATGCTCTTTAATCCAAAGTTTTCACCCTGCTTGTTTTTAGATCAAACCTAATTGCAGGCTCAGTCAGTCTGTACTTCCAGGGGATCCGGGCATGTCCGAGCAAAGACCCCAGGTAGTGGGGCTGATCTCCTGCTTCTTTGTGCACATTGCAAACATTCCAGAGAAGCAGAGGGAGGATCATCTCCATGGACACATTAACACACAGAGACACTGCTAAGGCAGGAAAGTAAAAAGAATCCCAGCTGTGTAAATAAATCTCTGTAAAATGGTTGTTGTTTTTTTTTATTTTGTCCTCAAAAGTTTTGAACTGGTGAAAGTTAGTTGTTAAAAATGTTCTTCTCACACTAATGCAGCATTTTATCTGCTCTAGTTAAAGACTGTTAGAAATCCCTCAGTAAGGAAAATTCTCACACCAGAAAGCAGCTATATGATTTGCTGATCTTTAGTACTGGAAATGCCATTTTGGGATCCAGAGGGCATAAAATCCTGCACATTTCTTTGTTACAAAAAGAAAAAAAAATGGAAATAAAGAAGAATAAAATCAGGACACTCTATAAGTCTTAAAAGCACACATTTGTCTTAAACATCCATAACAAGATAATTTATTGCTGTTTTATTTTTATTTTTTATTGATGTTTCTATGCCATGAATTTCATGCCTTCTTGCCTCCACTCAAAGTATAAACGTTTTTGTTTTGTTTTGTTTTTTCCCCCACTGCATTGCTACAAGTTTAATACTAAATTCTGAAGATGTTACAAATGTTTTTTATTTACTTTACACAGCTGAGGCTGTTTTCCCCTTTCCAACTCATTCCAGGAAAGCAACTAAACATCTAAACTATCAGGTTAAAACCATTGATTTTCTTTTAAAAGAAAACATACATTTTCTATAACATTCCAAAAACTGTTGCGAAGCAGGTGACTAAATGTTTTCTCTGCCTTATGCATGTGTAGAGACATTCTAGTATTCTTTTCAGGGCTCTGCAGAACCTGGAATCTCTTGCACATGATTACATTATGAAACATGGACATGAGTCACTTAGTCACAGTTGAATGAAATAGTGGGTAAACTGGGGGGCTGAGTCAACGTCTGGAGGGGATTTGACAGCATAAAGGCTGCGGTGTCCTGCAGAGGTGGGACAATGCCTGGCTTTGTCCAAGTCACTGTTCTAGGACTGAGGTCAAATCCTTTGAGCATTCTTTCTCAAGGGAAAGTTGAAGTTAATGAATATAAGATCGAGAGGGGGAGGGAGCAGTTCCTGCTTGCAAATACTTTATCTTATGAAAAGATAAAGTAACGGAAAAAAACTATGATTTTATTTAGTTTTCATTCATAGTTTGTTTAGGCTGGTAAGATTTAGTCTTACAAAATTTGGTGTCCTTCCACAGATTTGCATGCAGCATTAAGAAGAGAAAACTCTTCTTATTTAATTTTACATGTTCAGTCAAAAATAAATCAAATTGTCATTTTTATTACACTTTAAGAAGAGACACTGCTTGATGATTCATATTGTTTCACATTTTGTCTGTAATCAGTATTAAGGAGCCTACATTCAAGATGTTGGCATCTAATATAATGGAAAAACAGGCTTTCAGTGCTTTTTATAAACCACTCCTCCTTTCTTTTGATTTATTTTGTTTGTTTTAAACCACCTATGTTTAATCTTTCAATTTTGGTCTCTAATAAAACTTCACTAATATGTTTTCAGTCTGCAGACAAGCTTCAATGTGAGTAATGGTAGTTTTTAAAGTCTTTAATGCATCTGTCTGCTTTCAGCTGTCACACTCCTGTCATATTGGCACAAGACAAATTAAACCAATTGGTCTCTTTCCTTCATCAAATATGTCAAAAACAAGTCTTTTACACATTCCATTATATAGTCTAATAAAACAAGATAAAACTGCTCATTGTCTTCTTATTTGATTTTGCATTACAGGATTGAAACAGATGATACTGCAGAGTCCCTGCATACAGACACATTGATTTGGATATAATCCACTAAACTGTTTTAGAAACAAGAACTATTTAACCTTAATTTAGAGTCCCTCCATTTTCCTTTAATACGATTTTCTTCATGCCAGTCATAGTACACACAAAAATAAATCCTGATTAATTTTACCACTTAATTCCATCCTATTCGATATGCTTTGTCCCTCAAGCTCTGTTGACAAAACGTCACACGAGAGTCTGCAGAATCTAACGATGGCTGCATTTTATGCAGAACTCGGAGAAGAACTCTTCGACTGTTTCACGTTTGGATTATTTTTTTGGCAAATTATGTATTGTGAAATGATAATTGATAAAGTGATGGTCATTCATTTTCTAGAAACTTATTCAGATATTTTTTGTACGTCTGTCGGAAGGCTGTTGATGATATAATTAACCACATATCAAAAATTGTTTTTGCTTTTCTGATTTAGCCAGTCTTTTTCATTCAAATATGTAAAAACATTCAGTTGTAATGTTTTGCTTTCCCCATCTTGACTTTCACTGCATTGATTGACATGTTTGATGGATTCAGATTCTTTAGGGTGATGTTTGTTGATGCCTCAGTACAACCCGGGGAGTTTTTTCAAGCACACACTGTTTTGCATTTGGATTCATCTCTATGTAAATGTGAATCAGTATGCTTATGGAAATTATTTTTTATTTTTTTTATTTTAAGTTTTTCACTAGAAAGAATTACTGATCATATTCATGGGGAAATAATCTATCATTTTATGGTTGAATGCATTTTTCTTGCAGCCATCTGCACTTAGCTCAGATTGTGACTGTAATTAAGGTTATATTATGCAAATTTCAGAAATTCGAGGTGGGTGGTCCCAAATAAACTCCAGAACAAGGCAAATAGCTGGCCCAATTTAGCAGACTGGACATAGAGTTGTGATTACCTACCAAATATGAGGAGTAAAGGTTTGTGCAGATGCAGTTGTGCTAAGCAAAGTCTGCTTCTACATCTCATAACTTCTATGTTAAAGAAGAAAAAAAAAGAAACACTGAAAACCTTTACAGTCTAAACTGCCTGAAACAAAACTGTTGCTACATGTCATTATTGTCCTTCTTCATGTTTTATGGGAATGTTGTGGATTTTGCTCTCTCCTTGCCTGAAGGGTGGTGAGAATCAATACACAGAAGGGCAAAAGGACGTGTGATACTTGATGACAAAATACCTACAACCTGCTGAAACAGCACATTCCTTCCTGCTCGCTAACCACTTCATCTCTGAATGTTAGTGTTGGCTGGAGGCTGTAACCTGATGGAGTCCTGCGTGTGGGTATTCAAAGCAGTCATCTACTGGCTTTAACAGTGATAGGTAATTTGGCCATTTCTATGTAGATTGGACGTTGCGCTGCCATATCAGGATGTTGTACAGCAGCATATACAACTTTCCTCTTCACTCATTGGGATGGTTAAAGGTAACTGCGAGAAGACAGGAAGTTGATTTAGAAGACAATTCGGCAGAAGTGCAGAGAGGAAGGCAATTAATGAGACCAATGAGTTGGTGAAAATGTGTGTAGGACCCAGATCATTGTATTTATGTTACAGGGGATAAACCTAGGAACAAAATTATAGCAGTCATTTGTCTGAGGGCGGATATGCCTTAGTGGCCCTGAAGTGAGGCTAATTTAATGGAAACCAAATGTAAACATTTGTAAAATGTGGGTAAATTTATTGGTAACAGTTCAACAAATCAGTTTAAGCTCCCACAGACATGATTGATGGTTTTTTTTTTGGACCTTGACATGGCTAAATAAACAAATAAATCCTCCGTAGTTACTAAATCAGTTTTGCTCTGGTCAGAACCAAGAGTACTATGCAAGGTATGCAGTTGTGTTGGGAATATAAACACAGTGTTTTAAAGTAATGGTTAAACCTTAACATTTCGATTTTATTTCCGTACAAACAAGTGCAAAATGAACATTTCCCATTTATTAGAAACAAAGAAAACATGTAGAACAATTATTTAAAAGGAAGGAAAAATGTTGGGCTTTTATCACAAAAGTGAGGCACAAATTAATGGCAGTACACTCCAAAGAAATAAAAATAAAAAAATATTAGATTTTGTTTAACTTGTGTTCCGTAAAACATGCTTGGATTCTTAGCTTCCCTGTGAATATTTTGTTTCAGAACCACTGTTTCTCAGAACTGCTTCACATCTGTGTTGTATGGAGTCAACCAAGTTCAGGTACTTGTGTAGAGTTGCTTCAATTTGACGATTTTTACTACATTCCACAGCGCCTGTGGAATGTAGTAATTTTTAGTTTTGTCTCAGAAATAGCAGTTGCTTTCACAGCCTCACTGAAACATTTATTTCAGTCAGACATGAGTGTCTCTTATGCAGCAGAGGGCAAAATGACCACTAACTATTTTAAGTATGTTCACATTAATCCATTATATGCAGTAAGTGATATTGAGACTAAACATCATAGTATGAAAACTGATATCTTAGAATCAGAGTGTACCATTGGCTGAATATTCAGTCAGCTCCTAATGCTGACAAAGTGTTTTTATTCCCTTTTTGGCAGAGCAGACCAGCTGTCTTAAGGACAAACTGTTTTTCGCATTTTTTTGAATTTCTTTGTGAAATAGTCTTTTTTTCATACCGAAATATATGTGACCATATTTAGTTGCAGATTGTTTTTAATTTTTTCATGTAATATTTCTTCCTATGTTGTAAATTTGCCCTCCCTGTGCAGTGTTTTATTTCTTATTTTTTTGTT